CAAACAAACAGCATTTATTTGAAACCTTTGGTAAAATTATAAATGTCTTTATCGTCACTTTTTATTAATTTAATGCATCCTTGCTAAATAAAAGTATAATTTTTTTTTAATCTTACTGACACCAAACCTTTGAATGGTGGCGTAAATAGATAGAAAGATAGATACTAAACTAAACCCCTCCCACATATAGGCTACATGATTTTTCTTTCGCTTTCTAAGATCACCAAAAGTAATCTATAGGAACCTACATACTATGACAAGAAGTGTCTCAAGAAGAGAATGGAAAAGTTATTTTATCTTTTGTCACATCCTGCAGTCCCACTCAGGATGGCTGATGTACACATAGGAAGAAAATCCAGGAGAACAGAATATTAAATATATGTATATGTTGTATGTATTAAACACTGGCATTGTAAAAAAAATTAATTCTAAGTTGCAAATAAAAAAATATTATTTTATAGAGTACGTTTTACAAGAATATACTATTTCAGTTCTTCTACTTCAAAATGTCATGTTCAATTTGCCATTTCTTTGCAGTTATTTGTGAAATTTACTGAAATGTTTGTTGAGCACCAAATCAGCATATTAGTATGATTTCTGAAGGATCATGTGACACTGAAGACTGGAGTAATGCTACTGAAAATTCAGCTTTGCATCACAGAAATAAATTAGATTTTAAATGATGTATTAATATAAAAGACAGCTATTTTAAACTCCAATAATATTTCACAATATTGAAGTTTCTACTGTAGTTTTGATCAAATAAATGCAGCCTTGGTGAGCATAAGAGACCCCAAACTCTTGAACGCTAGTGTGTCTAAATTTGCCCATTCTTTAACTTGGACTAAAAGCATCTTAAGAAGGACGTGTATATATGTCTCAAATAGAGGATGGTTTGGGGTGTTTTTGCTGGTCTTTCGGTGCGGCAGTGGGAAGGGTCACTCCGTCATTGCCAAACCCAAACTGGTTTCTCAACTCACCCGGTCAAATTTTCTCTTTTTAGGCCTCAACTCTAAAAAAACAACAACATTTTGCGTCACAGAAACACATTCACACATAAATACATTCAACCCCAAAAGATAGGCAAAGAGGACAACATGTCCACTAATACGGACCCTAAAACAAGTCTTTGTGTTAATCAAGCAAAGTACACACACCCACTCAAAACACAAAGTAAACGTTCACACTCTCCTCTCCCCTCAAAAAACCTAAGCATGCGCCACCGGTCTGAGGTAAACATTCTCAATCTTTCAAACTCAACTTTATGAACTCATGGGAACATGTCTTCGCTAAAGTTTTTACCAGCCAATAGACAGCACTTCAAACAGGCCTATCCATCTATCCATCAAACACACTCTCATCCAGGCTTCTGCCGATCAGGAATCTCAAGAACGGACTCCATTTTTCCAGACACTTGCTATGTTTGTTTGGCATTTCAGTGAGACATTTTTCCAAACACGCCTTCATTTTAACTCTGACTTGAGTCTTAAAATGATTCTTCAGTGTGGAGTGGAATTTCCCATTGTATTGCGAGACAGAGGCAGTCAAATGACTTTGATATGTCCAAAAAAATCAAATAACGTGCAAGCTCACATTTCAATAGACACAACGAGTATTGTTAAAAATCTGGAGGCTTTTCTAAACCATGGCCTAGGAGGTAGCAAATGTGTTCTTTTTTTAAAAGTTTAGAAAATGACAAAAAAAAATTTTTTAAATAAAAATATGTGTAGACAGAATGTGTGTAGAATATGACTCTGAATATCAAATTGTTGAAAAAAAATTAAAATAATGCATGTTACCCAGTCTTGTCAAACGCCTTTTATTTAAACCCATGAAAATGCAGATCCTGTTGTAAATAATAGTGGAAAATCACTTTGCTGTTTCATTATGCAAATGTGTTCTTTTTTTAAAAGTTTAGAAAATGACAAAAAAAAATTTTTTAAATAAAAATATGTGTAGACAGAATGTGTGTAGAATATGACTCTGAATATCAAATTGTTGAAAAAAAATTAAAATAATGCATGTTACCCAGTCTTGTCAAACGCCTTTTATTTAAACCCATGAAAATGCAGATCCTGTTGTAAATAATAGTGGAAAATCACTTTGCTGTTTCATTATTACCCCATGGCATATTTTATCTCCCTCTCGACTCTCTCTCTCTCTATATATACTGTATATATTAGTGATATTATCTGATCATTTGATAACAATCAGCTGTGAATGCCATGGAGTAATACATCTAAAACTGGTGTCACCGTTTCATCCAGTTTAAGGGGCGACTATTATATCAGTGTTTGGTACGGTGGGCGAGTGGGTGAGTAGACTCGTATCCTTTTCTCACCCCACCAAGTCAAGCCACACATATCTGACTGCTCATTCACCAGGCCAGTGAGAAATGCCGGTGGATTCACACATACACACGGACAGAGGCCTATCAAAGGATTCACCTCACGCAGAAAACACAGCTGCCAGCACTGGAATTAAAGCTCATGCCTGAATCCAACAAATAACTCACAGCCACACAAGAACATTACTCATCAACAGAACAAAAAGTGGCCCATAAACACACAGTTCTGGTCTAAATTATGACTGCGGGTTTGGCTCCTCCCACTGTGGTCAGTGTGTGTTTTAATGACCGTAAGGCAGAGCGGTCAGAAGCGTGACTGACTGGCATTCTTGCTTGGGGATGGTGGTATAACCAACACCCTGGTATGAGTAGTTATATATGACAGTATGTCATAATACAGCTTTGCTGAATATTCAGTGGAAAAAAAGATATAAATAAAAACATGGTGATCATCAGCTAATGAAATAAATACTTTACAACTGAAGTCACCTGATAGATGCAAATGAAAAGTTCAGATATTTCTAAGGAACTCAAAAGTGCAAATTCAATAATATAAAATAGGTAGTTCAGGATGAGCCATATTCAAAGACACTGTAAAATAGCCAGTAAAAAGACCACACATTAGTTGAATTGTATTCATTAGTTAAGTCCAACACTGTTCACACTGAACATTTTGGATTAAAAAACTTTTAGGGGGATTTACTTTTGGATCCACATTTAGACATTATAAAATCAATATTATTACATTAAAAAACACATTTAGTCAACGTTCATACCACTTTATTTATACAGACATATCAAACTTTTTACAATTATGCCAGAATATGATTACAGTGAAACCTGAAAATGTGATATAAATTGTTAAAAAGAGAAGACTTGCAGTAAGCATTTTGTTATCTATCATTTACTTCAAATATCTATATCTGCAGCAAAATGTGTGTGCATGTAAACATTCTTAATGAGTATTAATATAGTAGTTTAAGCATTTCATTTCTGTTTGTGTGTGTCTGTGAGCGTATTCTCCATCATGGGTGTGTTTTAGTGCCAGCCATGCATTTCGGGTTGGACTTGACCCTAAAGCATAGAGCGTTAAAGGCCTTAAAGCACTTGAACCCCGATAATCACTGCTTGCAGCTATATTTGTAATTTTTATAACTCGTTTTTTTTTTTATGTTTAATTTAAATATTTTTAAAATAAGTTTTTATAAATTTTAACCCAGTTTAACTTATTTTAGTACATGAAGTTTAACTATTTTGTTAAAATATTTTGTTTAATTTCAGTTGACATTTTATTTCAGCTAGCGAAAATGTTTTTAGATTTAGTTACTTATAATTACCCTGCTTTGTACAAAAAGTCCGATTTCATTGCTTCCATTAAAGCACAGATCCATCTTTGGATCATTCTCAAGTCATATGAAATTCTAGATTTTTTAAACTTTTTGTAAAATGTAAAATTCAACATTTCACTCAAATTGTTAAACTGATAACATATTTTGTAACTGGAAAAACTATCATTTACTTCAAATATCTATATCTGCAGCAAAATGTGTGTGCATGTAAACATTCTTAATGAGTATTAATATAGTAGTTTAAGCATTTCATTTCTGTTTGTGTGTGTCTGTGAGCGTATTCTCCATCATGGGTGTGTTTTAGTGCCAGCCATGCATTTCGGGTTGGACTTGACCCTAAAGCATAGAGCGTTAAAGGCCTTAAAGCACTTGAACCCCGATAATCACTGCTTGCAGCTATATTTGTAATTTTTATAACTCGTTTTTTTTTTTATGTTTAATTTAAATATTTTTAAAATAAGTTTTTATAAATTTTAACCCAGTTTAACTTATTTTAGTACATGAAGTTTAACTATTTTGTTAAAATATTTTGTTTAATTTCAGTTGACATTTTATTTCAGCTAGCGAAAATGTTTTTAGATTTAGTTACTTATAATTACCCTGCTTTGTACAAAAAGTCCGATTTCATTGCTTCCATTAAAGCACAGATCCATCTTTGGATCATTCTCAAGTCATATGAAATTCTAGATTTTTTTTAACTTTTTGTAAAATGTAAAATTCAACATTTCACTCAAATTGTTAAACTGATAACATATTTTGTAACTGGAAAAAAAAGAATAATTTAATTAGAAAAATGTAAAACCCTTCAAAACATTTTCAAACGTGAACACGACCGTACATCTACCATGGTATTAACACTAATTTTATCATCATATCGCCCTAATCCCACTCATTACTAAAAAAGCAGGAAATACTCAAACACACACACACACACACACACACACACACACCTATTGCAGAAAAAGAAATAAAACATTATCCAGTCAATAGACAGTTCAGTGTGAGGAAACGCTACAACTGAGCTGTCACTGCAAACACTCGGAGTTCCACAAACCACAGCCTAATTATACACTGTGTGCGTGCGTGCGTGTATGCATGTGTGTGGTCAAACACAGATCCAGTCTCTCTTCCTGTCTAGCTTTCGCAGTTCTCTCTCCCATTACAAACCCTAGAAGCAGCACCGGGGCCTGGTTTCTGTACATACATGTGACTGAATCATGGTGTCACATGCATGCTAGTCCTGCCGGAGCTCGTTTACACTGGGTAAATTTAGCAGGAGACTGAATGTAAAAAATGTTTCGCACCTTTGTGAAGAAGTTCTCCCTGTACTTGTGCACCTCAAACAGCTCCGTCTGTAGTCTGGCTGTGTGGGCAGAGTTTTAGATGAGAGTGAGCTAAAAACAGACACAAGAGAGTATGCAAGCAAAACTGCACATGTGATTATTACCTCTACTTAGGACAGCTCCGTTCTCCTGATAGTCCTGTATCTCCGCATCCTTCCGAGCCAAAAGAGCTGCTAGATCCTCCACTTGCCGCTGCAGCACTCTACTCACTCCCAGCAGGGGGCGCACCAGCTGCCTGCACACCTGATTTACAAGCAGAAACATACTGCATATTTGATACACGAATTTGTAAGGCCTGGAGATCATCAACATGATCCAAATTTTGCATTAAAAAAACTAAAAATCTACTACATGCCTTCTGCCCTTTGGTTGTAAGGTTGTACTTTTTTTAGCAATTAAAAGGCCTTTTTATTATAATTCTAAAAATGTCCACCTTCAAGTTGTGTCTTTTTGATGAGAAATATATAATGATTTTCATCGTAAATGAAGAATAACTTTCATATTGTTAGTAATATTTTAAGATGAACACTTACTGGACCGAAACAACTTAGGTTAATTGATTATTTGTATTTATTTATTGTAAATCTTGTTAAAATTTGAGTTTAAAAACATGATCCATCAGGCTTTTGAGGAATGTTTATTATATCTCTTATCATTGTACTGCACTATATGTTTTGACCTCACAACAAAAAACTAGAGCTTTTATAAAACTAAGCATTTAAATATCATCTTACTAAAACATATTTTTTGGAGATATACAACTGATATTCATATGCATTTTATGTACGTAGATTTACATTACATGATACCAGAATTTCATCTTTTTGGCCATATAAATATCAGCAATTGCACTCACAATTAAAAGAACCAAAGACTTAAACTACTTCAGTCTGTGTGCATTGAATTTATTTAATACACGAGTTTCACAATTTGAGTTGAATTACTGAAATAAATGAACTTTTCCACGACATTCTAATTTATTGAGATGCACCTGTACTATATCATATTATATGAGCCATAAAAGGCTGATGTATCAAATATGACAGTAAACAAAAACACAAAAGCAAACTTTATATCCATCCATCCATCCATCGGTCAATAGATACTGTCTTAACCATTCCATTTCAAAACAATTACTGACTATTATTTCATGTTCATTAGGCTTTACAGGGTTACAAGAACAGGTAAAATATTTCAAACACTTTTGAAACCATGTTACATCATAGCTGCAGATATCATTTTATTAGATACGAAAGATACATACCACGCCAACAGGTGCAGCGGTGCAGCGAAACTCCCAGTAGAACGGCAACCCAGCCAGCTCACTTTTGAGTTTGACCGTTAGATTGTCACCATGCTGTTCAAGAGTAATGTGTGCAGCAGAGATCTGATCATCATTTTGACTGGAGAAGCAAGGCTGTGCCACACAACTCAGATGAGAGAAAAAAGCCTGTGTAGGAGCCCTCAGACGCTTATTCAGATCCTTTCACACAGAAAACGAGAATAAATCAGTATTTTGACAGGCTAGAATGCCCTTAGAACAGAATATTGTGAATGATTGTGATACTATTGTACTGAAACACATTTATTGTACATGAAATCATTAAGAGTGACTTCAGTTGATCAAAAATACACTGACTTGAAGCTACAGTATGGTTTGCATCTTCACAGGAATTTATTTCATGTTAAAGAAAGCTATAAGAGCTAATGCTAATCCTAATTAATACTGTTCAGTTGCTTTGTCACAATCTGTATTGTTAAAAGCGCTATATAAATAAAGGTGACTTGACTTGACTTGACTAATGGAGGTCCAATTTAAGTCCTAAAGTGTTATTAAAAGCAGATTTAGTATTCATCAAAATGAATTAAAACAGTGAAATGCAAACTCAGAGTATGACGCAAACTTGCAATAATTAAATATGTTAAATAACACAAATATATCTAATCCCATTTTATTAACCAATGTCTTTGCTGCTGACCTTTGATGATCCAGTTCAACCGTACTAATAGGCAAAAATGACATTAGAGAAACTAACAATTGTGCCTTGTTTTTTTATTGCTGAAGAGTGTTTCTTCTCCTGCGTTCTACTGTACAGCCGTTGAATTTACTTTTCATTCAGCCTGAGGTTTATTCATTACACTTTTTGGTGTGAAAGGGCTTTTATATTTGCTATAAACGGAACTTCTTATATTAAAAACAATCAAGCCCTGCTCATATTTAAAAAGTAACGCAAAAGTAATGCAAAAGTAATATAGCGCATTATTTTCCATAAAAAGTAACTAAGTAACGTAATTAGTTACTTTTTTAGGGAGTAACGCAATATTGTAACGCATTACTTTTAAAAGTAACTTTCCCCAACACTGGTTATAAGTAAAAAACAAAATACCTATTATCCATCATCTTTATTGAGACATTCATAAGCAAACCATTTACAAGCCTCTGAAATGGCTGTTATATAGTGTAAGAGATCAAAAACGGCTCTAAACACCACATCTCTCTTCTGATTCTTTCGGTTGAAGAATGTGGCAGTAGGTTTGTCTTTAAGGTGAAGTTTCTTTCTTTGAAGTATAGGAGTCATAGTTTTAAAGGTTAGTGATTACATTTGAACAAGAACTTTAATCTGCGTGTTTACAGGGTTCCAGCTACACGATTGAACGTGCCGCTGTGGTTGGTTGGTTGGTTGGTTGGTTTTCTGATTCCAAGTTGTTTGTTGTGCAGGGTGATTCAGGCTCCTGTCTCATAACCAATTTATCCAGAAACTGAACAACATCGTGCTCTGCCTCACATTTTTCTAGTTTGATACAGTTTGCGCAACCTGGGGGACCACAAAAGGGGTATCTGAAGAATCTGTGCACAGCTCTCGCATAAAGAGATCATATATAGAACATTACAGCATTCTTAGGTAATATCAATGACCTGATAAGAATATCCATAACCAAATGACCCATATGTTATGGCCATCTCAACATCTAACCTGCAAACAACCTACAATCAGTCAGAAAATAATGTTTTCTCTCTCACACATGAACCCAACAAGGCACTTTCTAAGAACAGAGCACACTTTGGTAATTTTACGGCACTTTTTAAATCATTAGACATCGAGCTTTTGTAGTGAGAACTATTAGATATGTTAGATAAACAATTATGTATATTATATAATTTACATCTCATGATATCATGTTAGTTAAGTTACATTATCTTAGGATAAATCTGAAAACGTGTTATCAATTATGTACCAATTATATAGTTCTGATTTATACTTTTCAGTTATTTACTTTTATTTTGGTTGATTCAATGTTGATTGCTAGAAAATACATTTAATAGTAGGATTGCAATATCCTATATATATATATACTTAATATATATAGAACAATTATAAACGCAACACTTTTGTTTTTGCCCCCCTTTTTCATGAGCTGAACTCAAAGATCTAAGACTTTTTCTATGTCCACAAAAGGCCTATTTCTTCTCAAATATTGTTCCCAAATCTGTCTAAATCTGTGTTAGTGAGCACTTCTCCTTTGCCGAGATAATCCATCCACCTCACAGGTGTGGCATATCAATATGCTGATTAGACAATGATTATTGCACAGGTGTGCCTTAGGCTGGCCACAATAAAAGGTCACTCTAAAGTCAGCAAGTCAAGGTGAACTATCCCTTTAAGACAAGCTGGCATGTAAGTCAATACGTCCAACACCAGACAAAACTCAGCTCACACTCACAAAATGATTCTGATCATACAAATTACACCCACCTATTTTGACAGCCATTTATTATTTGCCATTAAAACAAGATAATGGCTTGTTATATGACGCATAGTTTTTTTTTTAACGTAAATATAAAATAAAACACTTTTACTCAGGACAGCATTAAGAGAAAGTGGCTAATACAGAGATTAAGCTAAAGAATAGTTGGAAAAACTGGATTTAAATGTGTGTGGCTAACCATCAGACTCCACAGATCTCTTCCCAGGCATTTCATAGAACATTCCCACCATCTTTCCAGGACAGTGTCTCTTTTGAGTTTTATATCGTCTCTGCTTCCTCAACGCAGTAACAATACTTGTTGTCATAGTTGTGGTCGTAACGGTGAGTTACATGGTGAAATGCCTTGTGTAATCATATTCTATTGTAGGAATGACAGCTTGCACAAATTTCAGGAAAATCAGAAGATACCTGGAGTTATGAAAGTTAAGGGAAAATGTGTTTTTTAAAAAAAAGTTCCTCATGAGCCAACATAAACATTTGTTCATTTACAACATAAACAACAAGAATAAATCTACAAGATGCGTGTAGTTTAAGCACACTACTAGGCATACTTGTCTGAATTTATGTTTCTTATGATTTTAAAATCCTTTGGACCAAAAAGTGTCCAGCAAAAATGGGAAATTCCTCAAAGTTTAAAAAGCCTCCCAGGATGCAGGGTATGTCAGTAGCCAATAACATTTAAGATAATTTTGATTTCTACAACTTTTTTTTTAATCATACATAAACATATCACATGATCCTTCAGAAATCATTTGCTGATTTGGTGCTCAAGAAACATTTATTGTATAACATTTGTTCATTTACAACATAAACAACAAGAATAAATCTACAAGATGCGTGTAGTTTAAGCACACTACTAGGCATACTTGTCTGAATTTATGTTTCTTATGATTTTAAAATCCTTTGGACCAAAAAGTGTCCAGCAAAAATGGGAAATTCCTCAAAGTTTAAAAAGCCTCCCAGGATGCAGGGTATATCAGTAGCCAATAACATTTAAGATAATTTTGATTTCTATAACTTTTTTTTTAATCATACGTAAACATATCACATGATCCTTCAGAAATCATTTGCTGATTTGGTGCTCAAGAAACATTTATTGTATGTATATACATATACATACAATAAATGTTTCTTGAGCACCAAATCAGTATATTAGAATGATTTCTGAAGGATCATGTGACACTGAAGACTGTAATGTATGCAGTAATGATGCTGAAAATTCAGTTTTGCATCACAGGAATAAAGTACTTTAATATATATTCAAATAGAAAGCAGTTATTTTAAATTGTAATAATATTTCACAATATTATGGTTTTTGATCAAATAAACGCAGCTTGTGTGAGCATTAGAGATGTCTTAAAATTAAACTTTAAAAAAATCTTACCGACCTTAGACTTGAACAATAGTGTATGTGCTTATGCATATAATACTGTACAACAACCTTTTTTTTTTAAAGAAAGGATACATATGGACCCCAAGTTCTCCTCCTCCTTCCGCCACTGTCTCGATAATCTTTTTCATTACCTCCGCATGTCTGACAAATAAAATCAAGAGAGCATCTTTTTAGTTCACTGACTGTAAATGAGAGGTAGATGCATGTAAAGTTTGTATTTACCTGCACGGATGCACAGAGCACATAGCAGGTGGGGGCAGGTGGGGATGATTCTCAATGGTGACCGTCTTTTTAACATGATCCTGGCTGATGTCTTCATACATCTGATCTACCATTAGAGGCTGTCTGTCCTGGAAATAAGCACAACATGGAGGATTTAAACAAAATGTGTTTTATTTAAGTGATGGGAGTAATGCAGGCCACAATTTTACATCATCACATGTTGCTTTCACGTCAAAAAATAATAAAGCAAAATCACCTCATCATATCCAAACAGCCATAGTCTTGGGGTCTGGTAATATTTATCATATGTGATGTAAAGATCATAAGTTCTTGTCTGTAGAATGGCATCTTCCCCTCCAGCCTCTGCCTTGATTTTACTTAAATCAGCCATTTTACTTGTGTCAAGAGTGGCCTAAACAAAAAATTTAAAAGAACAATTTTGCCAAAGCAAATCCTGTTGTTGAAAAACTTGTGTTGAGCATAATTTCTTACTTCATCTGTCTCCAAAAGTCCACTTTCTTCATATTCTGAAATATGAATACACAATATCCAATTACCAGTTATGACTGTTATTACCGACTGATAATGCGTCATGAAAACGAAAACAAACATTCAGAGCTACCTTCCATGTCTGCTGCCTCTCCTTCATCATCATCATCTCCATCACCATTTCCACTTGCACCCTTCTGCACGTTCATATTCATATTGTCCTTCACATGCATAAAAAACAATATATATTTATATATACAAAATATGACTAAAAGAATAGTTAACCCCAAAATTAAAATTTACTCATCCTCAGAGCATCCAAGACATAGATTTGATGCACAACAGATTTGGAGAAAGTTAGCATTAGATCACTTGCTCACCAATGGATCCTCTGCAGTGAATGGGTGCCGTCAAATTGAGAGTCCAAACTGCTGATTAAAAACATCACAATAATCCACAAGTAATCCTTCAGTGAAAAGTCCATCCCCTGTTGTCCTCTCACATTAAAATCCACCGACATATTTCTCTCCAGATTCAAAGATGTCTTAATGATGGAACCGCTTCTTTCAAACACACTGTCATTCTGACGGCACCCATTCACTGCAGAGGATCCATTGGGGAGCAAGTGATGTAATGCTAAACTTCTCCTAATCTGTTGCAATGAAGAAACAAACTCATCTACATCTTGAATGGCCCTGACCCCCTAACCCTAAGGAAGAGTAAATTTTCCTTTATGGGTGAACTCTTTCTTTAACAACTTTCAACCAATTAATTCATCATTCCATTCTTGAAGTAGTCAACACAATGCTGCCTACCTTATTATCCAATGAGATTTCCTGAACTGCTTCTGTCACCCCTGTAACACCTAGTAACACAAAATGAGTCTCTGAGAATGTCTGTCAGAAACTTAAGCGTGACAAAAACATGCTTTTAACGGCCACTTGATACTGTTTGTTCAGATTCGGTTTCATACCAGAGTTATGATAGGTATCCACCCATCCCCCATCTCCATCATCCTCTTCTATAATGGCCTCCAGCTCATCAGAGTACTCCATCTGTTTACAGCGCTTGTAACATGGAACTAAGCCCCAAAACAACCATATTGTGACTATTACAAAACAGCTGTAGCACGATCATCACAGCTTCACACAACACAGCACAGCTGATTTATACTACATTTCAGAAACTGACTAAGGTTTTCACTTCCTTTACCATTTCGGGTTAATAGAAACTGCTTGTCTTTGGGCAGATAGGGCTTCACCTTTGCTTCTTCTCCAGATGCCCTAAAAGTAAAGAAAATATATTCTTACTGTAAAAAGCCACAAAAGAGTATGTGCATAAAAAACGTAAGCTGCAGAATATTACTCATATGAAGTCCTTCCAAAAACTCAACGCATTGCTTGACAGCAGTGAATCTCTACCTTAATAAAATAAAAAGGCATTTTTAATATTATTCTTTACTTACAAATAACAATTTTCATGACTTTTCCAGATCTACAAATTACACTTTTAAAAATCCCTCATATATCAAGGTTTTCCAACACAATGGGAATTCTGGTGCTTGACTAAAAGCTCATTGAAAGAACAAATTAATTAGGAAATATAACCGTTTACATTGAGATTTGTGTGTTTTAGCTTAGTTTAATGCTTATGTCTTATTTTAAACCATTTTAAGTGATCTTGCGCCCCATCCCCCCAATGGACTCC